AGATAGATAGATAGATAGATAGATAGATGATAGAGATGATAGGGATTTATTTTATTTTTATTTATGTGTGTATGTTTGTATGTGAATGTGCATACATGTGCTGACAGAAGCCAAGAAAGGGTGTCAGATCCACTGGAGCTGGAGTTACAAGTGGTTGTGAGCCAACAGACATGGGTGCTGGGAACAGAACTCCAGTCTTTTGCAAGAGCAGCAAGTGCTCTTAGCTCTGGAGGTGTCTCTTCAGTCCCAATTCTTGTGTTCTGTATCATGCTTCCCACAAAAATTCCAAGCTTTACCTCTAAGGCTATGCAGTACTATGCTGTTCCTCTCATTCTAAGAAGAGCCTCGTTTTCTTCATTTCAAAGAAAATTCCTTATATTTACTCCGTGTGTCTTAAATCACTTTTTCATAGCTAATCAGTGCTTGTGATAGAAAGAATTATTCTGATTTATTTAAGCTGATTGGAAGACACTCCTGAAACTGTAAGTTTGAAGACCTCAACTGAGGATGAAAGTATCCAAAATTAACATGAGATGCTACTACCAAGGATTTTAAGAACAACCAATGGCAGATTATAGTGTCTATTACAAAGTGCCAACCATCCCTAGCAATAAACACACATAAAACCCCATTCCTAAGAGAAAGAGGTGTCTAAATCAGGGTACTAACAGTCCCCACTTTAGTCCAGTGACTACACTTTGTTGCAATTCTTATATAAAACCTTAGGCATGATATCAGTCTTGCTTATAGTCATCTATAATATCCCCATCTTTGTGATTCAGTTTGTGGTAGGTCAAGTTCTTGTATCCTTGACAGCATTACTCTTCTACGTTATTACTACTAAGTGCTTATGTGAAAGCTGGCATTCCGTCGGTGAGGCGATACCTCTCTCTTTTGTAATCAGTGTACGTATATCTGGCCCAGGAAGAGTGAACTTCAGAAATTCATTCGTACATGTGTTGGCTGTCAGAGCTTCAGCAAATTACCACTCCCAAGGAGACGAGTAGGTGTGCCAGAGCATTAAAATAATGGCTCAGCCGTTCCTCGCACTCTCGTTCCTTGCACCATAAACTACTTCATCTAAGAAACAATTAGCCTGAGTAAATTATAGAGTTATTTTCCTATGAATCTTTCATCAATTACCTATCAAAATTCTACATCAGGTCTGAAGAATTCATCCTTGTATGGTGTCTTCACAGACTTTGGAATGTGATGATCGCTCTCTTCACCTTGTTCAACCTTCATCTATATTCACCAACCTAGTTCATAAAGAAGAGTGAATATGAATAAAGAAGTGTGATTCCACCCTCAAATTATCAACAGTTGCCCCCATGCTATTTCGGTGTGAATAGCAAGGAGACATGTTTATCTTCCCTACTCAATTTATCAAACAGTAGAACATATAGTGTCTTCAATTCCATTTATAGATATCTCAACCAGTGCTGGAACTCCTGCCTATTCCTAAGCAAAGCAAAATGGTATTGTGGAAATGAACTTGAGATTGACTGCAGAATTCTCAGTCTTTATGTGACATCCCAAAGATGGAAACTTTGTCAGCTTTTCTGCCTCCTGGTTTCCAACTGCAAAATGGTGGTAATTAAAATGTATTCCTTAAAGCATGGAGAGGTGGCTTAGCAGTTGAAAGTGCTTGTTGTTCTTTCAGAGGAACTAAGTTTGATCTCCAGCACTCACATTGGGCAGCTCACTCCAGTTCCTAGGGATCTGATACCCTTTTCTGAACTCCATGGGCATCTGTAAACACATGCTCACACACACACACACACACACACACACACACACACACACATGCACACACACCTTTTCTTGAAAAAAAGTGCTCCTTCAAGTGAGGTCACATATAAAATGCATCTTACTAAATGCTGCCCTGGGAATGCAAATCCCTCTTCAATTCCTTCAAATAGGGCTAATAATCCTCAGTATCAACAGTGAGTACAACATGTTGATGGAAGAGATACTTGATTTGACTTGATTTGATTTGATTTGATATGGTTGGAGTGCAATGGTGCACATCTCTGTAATGTCCCTCCTCACATGCGTAACCCCAAACTAATCATAAGGAAAATCTCAACACAACCTGGAGACGATCTGGACAGTAGTCTGCCAAAGTGTTAAACTTACCAAAATCAAGGAATCTGAGAGCAGTCACAGTCAAAAGGAGTCTAAGGAGACACAACAATGTAAAGTTGTCACCTGGGTGCCTTCCCTGAAAAGGAAGAAGAAAGAAGCATTAGGTCAAAAACAAGGGCTAACATAGTAGTCTGAATGAGAAATGTCACAATAATTTCATATATTTGGACACTTGGTTCCCAGTCGGTGGCACTGTTTGAGTAGGTTAAGGAAGTTCTAGAAATTAGTGTTCCTGGAGGAAGTACGTCACTGAGGGTGGGTTTTAAGGGTTTATAGTCTCACCCCACTTCCAGCTCTCTCTCTCTCCTTCCTGGTTTCAGTTGAGATGTGATCTCTCAGCTTCCTGCTTCCCCCACTTGCTGCCATACCTCCCCAACATGACGGACTCTTATGTCTTTGGAACCATAAGCAAAAATAAACACTTTCACTCATAAATTGCTTTTGGTCATAGTATTTTATCACAGCAACAAAAAAAGTAACTAATAAACGCTATAAGATAAAATACGGATTTTAGATAATGATGTGTCAATATTGGCTTTTTTATTGTAGAACTAATAATGTAGACTGGAAATAATGTAGACTCTGTGTAGACTCTGTTACCCCATTTTTTTTTATAAATCTAAGTGTTAAAAACATTATTTTTTTTCTTAAAATACATTTAAATAAGATATTTGAAATTTTAAATAGGACGTGAAACAACTCTAAAGTCAACTTCCTTCCCTACTGTCTATTTCTTCCTCTATTCTTTTCCTT